ATAAGCTATGATCTCAGGCACTTGTTAAGTGGAACTTCATTAAATTTCCATAAAATATAACAGCTTTTATAATTACCTCAGTGCCTAACACAATACAAGTACTTTTAGAAATCCATATGCACAGAACATGATCTACCTGGATGGGCCGAGGCTCACTCTGTGAGAACCACAAGCGTGACCACGAGTGTTACTAGTCCCCAGGGGGACAATCCTACTTCCTGGTGCGCTTGCTACTTGTTGGTTGAGTTGGCCCGCCCCCTGGCGGTCGGCTTCTTACAGAGTGCAGCTGGAGGCAGTTTGCAGGGTCTTTTGCCCACAAAACGGTTGGGTGAGTTTGAACTACTAACCTTTAGGTTAGCTTTCTGTTGTTACAGATGCCACTGAGTTGATTACAACTCACTGATTACAAACTACTTGTACCACCCAGGCATTCTAAAATACTAACTGCACTCCACCTCCCAGCCCATCTTAAAGAAAAACCAAACAACTCACTGCCACTGCGTGGATTCTAACTTCGCATGACGGACCCCTCTGGACTTACGAGGCTATCCATCTGCATGGGATCAGAAAGCCTCATCTGCCTCCGCAGAGTGGCTGGTGGGTTTGAACTGCTGGCTGTGCAGTGAGCAGCCCAATGTGTAACCCACTATACCACCAGATGTGCAGTATTACAGTGTCTGAGGCCTAATCCCTAAAGTTTGCTGAGAACCAGAAAGGAGGTATTCTTTAACAACTAAATATTATACAGGAACAAACACTTGCCCCTATTTCTATGAACTTACATCTTTCTAAACGGCACTGTACATTTCTGAATAACTTATCATTAAACACCTCCTTAGAGTATCCTTGTGAGGGAGATGCTAATTCCTCGATAGATTATTCATCCTATGTTTATAAAAACGCAGTATTGCTGCTGTTGTTAGATGTCACAAAGTCAGTTCCGATCCATAGCGATGCTGTATACAACCGAACCAGACACTGTCCAGTCCGGCACCTTCCTCACAACTGGTCTTTGTCTGAGCCCACTGTCGCAGGCTCAGTGTCAATGCATCTTGCAAAGGGTCTTCCTCTTTTTCACCGCCCATCTTCTTTACCAAGTATGATGTCCTTCAGGAACTGCCTCTCCGGAAAACATGTTCAAAGTACGTGAGACAAAGTCTCGCCATCCTTGCCTCTAAGGAACATTCTGGCAGTACTTATTATCATTACGTACTCTCCTGTTTAGTATTATATTTTAATCCTAACCTCAAAATACATGTGTGTGCATGCAATGTAGGTTTCAGGAGCTCTGGTGGTGTTGTTGAGCTACAAATTTCAACATCAGCAGTTCAAAACCATCACCCACTCCATGGGAAAGAGATGAGGCTGCTCCCATCAAGAGTTACAGTCTCAGAAGCCCATATGCACAGTTCAACCTTGTCCTATAGTCACTATGCGTTAGAATCGACTCAACGGCAGTGGGTTTGGTCTTTTTTCTTTTTGGAATGTAGATTCCCTGTCTTCGCCAATTTATAAATTATCATATACATGTATGTATTTCTGATTCCTTTCATTGATTGTTTTATGTAATTCATTAGATTCTGGTAGGCTAATAAACCCTGGGCCGAAGTATAGTGCCGTCGAGTTGATGCTGACGGGGGCTGGACAGTTGACTGCACAGGTCAGAGGACTGACCGGGGGCTTTCCAAGACTGCAATCTTTTACTGCCACGTCCTTCTCCGGCGAACCTGAGTGAGGGAGTTTTCTCATAAGAAGCTTTGGTTTTTAAATAACACTATTTCAGACTAAGACTATTAGGCAATTCGTCCTGAAATGTCTAAAGAATATAAATAATGTGCAAATCTGTTTTGTCACAATGGCAGTTTAAAGCAAAGATGTACTAAGAAAGCAAACATTATTCTAATCCACAGATAGGCTAACAAGAGCCTACAGGCCAAATCCAGCCACTGTCATGTTTCTGTACCCACCTTAAAGTAAGAATGTTTTCCTCCCAGATGTTAAAAAGGTAACTGAAAAGAGAGGAGGAGGAGAAAGGGGTGGAGGGAGGGTGGGGGGGCGCAGACAGAGATAATGTGTAGCCTACAAACCCTAAGATATTTGCTAGCTGCCTCTTCATCTCGAAACAATCATTTGGAACCACCTTTGCAGAGGGAAAGGTCCCTCTACCAGACCCGAAATTGTGGATAAAAAAGAGCTCTTGACAAAGACTGACGTCATAAAATGTCAGATGACTTTGGACCAAGAAAAGTTCTTGACTATGGGGGCGGGGGCAGGGGAGAAGTAAAAGAAGGGACTAATAGGTCACATAACAAGAATCAGGAATTACAGCTTTCGACTTCACTATAGCAGCTCAGGGAGCTAGTTATAATGCACCAATGTTATTTTCCAACCTAGAATTTTAGACACAGCCAAACTATGCAAGGTCAAGTATTCAAGGTTTCAAAAAATGTATTTTCCCTCATCTCTGGGCAGCCAAATTGTGGGGGGATGACAAATCTCCGTGCCCCTGCCCTGTTCAGTTCAGACCCCCGCCCACACAGCCTGCTTCCCTTCAGCCCCAACACCTGGGGCCAAGTCAGCAGGTGGCAGCCACAAACTTGGAACTGAGACCACAAGACTCCCTCCACCTCAAGACCTGCCAGTACCCACTACCCCTCTGGGCCCCACAACTTGGCGGAATAATCCACTGAGCTCACAGGAAATAGCAAACTTGTGATGAACAGCTGTAACCGAACAGAAAAGGACACAAATTAAGAGACTTATAGAACATGGTCTGAAAGAGGTCCCAGTGTGGCGCTTCCATCTGCTAAGGGATGAGCTATTACCACCGCCAGGTGCCTCAGAGCTCAGGACACTTGACCACCTCGATAAATTACGTCACGCCTCCTTGCAGGCTTAGTCAACAGGAGCTCTGGGTGAGTCCCTGTCACTGGGGCAATTAGGGACCCAGAACAAAAGACCACATTGCTTCCTGGACTTCACAACCATTTAGGAAGCTGGGAGAAAGTAATTTTTTTTTAAATGAGTAAAAAGTAGATGAGGGAGCCATGGGATCCAAAAACAGGCGTGTCAAGCAAGGAGTGTGTTAAAGGAGATTGCTGGGACGAAGAGAGGCACCTGGGACAACACATGAGTCAGAGGCCTGGAACACAGCCTGTCCAGACGGGAAGACTGAAGCCGGTCCTTGGGAGAGAGATGACCAAGACAATGACATCAACGGAATGCCAGGTGTTCCAGGGCATTCGGGAAGACTCTGACCAATGGAAATGAGCCTGGGGCAGACTCCATGTAAACGCAATGCCCAAGGATGAAATCCAATGTCAAGAAAATGGAAATCCTGACACCTCGACCAACAGACAACATCAGGATGAACGGAGCAAAGACTCAAGTCAAGGGCTCCATTTTCCTGGGATCCACACTCAACCCTCATGGAAGCAGCAATCAAATCAAAGGGCATATTGCACTGGGCAGATCTGCTGCACAGGAGCTACGTAATGTGTTAACAAACTAAGATGTGACTTTGAGGGCTATGGTGTGGCTGATCCAAGTCCTGGTACTTTCAATGGCCGTGTCTGCTGTGAAAATGGAACACGGGATAAGGAAGATCACAGGAGAATCAATGCATTTGAATTATGGTGCTGTCAGAGAATACTGAACGTACCAGGAACTGCCAGAAGTACAAACAAATCTGTCTAGGAAGAAGTACTCCTCTTTAGAGGAGAGATGGCTAGATTTTGTCTCATGTACTTAGGACATGTTATCAGGAGAAACCGTCCCTAGAGATGTATTTCATGGTTGGAAAATACAAGGTCAGCCACAAAGAGGAAGACCCCTGATGAGAGGGGCTGCCACCGTGACTGCAAAAAGGATCTCAAAGAGGATGGCGCCAGGCTGGGCAGCGCTGTGCTCTGTTGGACAATATTATGCGTCGAAACCAACTTGACAGCACTTACCAACTAGCCACAAAACAAAACGAGAACTGCTATCGTTCAAGAAAAAAACATTATGGCTGGACAACGTGCCTTTGGTTGATACTACAAACAACAACTACACATTGGGAGAACAAGAAAAACGTGTGAGGTGACCAGGAGTGAGGAAAAGAAAGAGACAAATGGAAACTAAATCTTTATCTTATGGAAATTCAAGAGGTTATTACTTAGGTTACTTTTAATTCCAATCATGGTGGAATAACTGGTCCTTCTCCAAGTGTGTGCCATAAACTACCAGAATATTGGACAAAGAATATGAAATATGAAATCCTTATCTTTCAATATTGGACAAGGGCAGCCTGGAAATGTCGGTAAGCACTACAAAGTTTTCAACTTTCTGCCTAGAGGCATGTACAGCCTGCGGGGTCCGGGCGGGGAAACCCTGGCAGAGCACAGCAAAGTGAACGGAGGAGAGAGTAGAGTGTGGCAGGCTAAAAGTGAGAGCCTTCAGGGCAAAAGACCACCAGAAAGAACGATAGTCACACATCTGTGAGCTGGAACTCTGTCTGGGCCAGGCTGAGAAGGGACAGGGGGCACCATCTGGGACCAAGCCGGTGGCCTGCGTGGCCAAGAGTTTGTTAACATTAAGGAAACAATGGGTACATCAGAAAACACGTCAACGATCATGGAGGATTTCTCACTTTCAGAGGAAAGAGGTGTAAGTCAGGAAAATAGCCTTATAAGCCCTATAGTATTAAGAGTGTGGATGTAAATAGATAAAACTATGTGTGCATATTTACACGTTACACATGGAAACATATAATTCAGACACGTTATTTCCTAGCTCTGTCCTCTGAGAAAGCCTCAGAGCTCAGTAGCAACAAGCACCCCCAAGCCACAGATCCTTGTTCTAAATATCACTTCTACAAACAGAACCAGGGCCTCCCAGAGAAGTGACTGGACCCAGGGCTGGGAGGGGCCAACAAAGCACACTTGGATCAAAGAACCTCACACCGGGATTAAGGAACGACAGGGACCCGCTCAGCAGACTGGCGTGGAGGGCTGTCTCTCCCGGCTCAGTCTGGAACAGCTCGAGCAACCACGGATGATCATGACCGCAAGCTTCTGAGTCAAATACCAGCAGGCTGTTCTGACGGAAACGAGTGACTGAATGATTTGGGACATACAAGTCTCTAATAAGTGGCAGGGGAATTACAAAACTGGTTAAAAAAAAAGCCACCATTTGGCGTAGTACTAATTGAGCCCAGATTCATCAAGGAGGGCTAAATCTGATGAATAAAAGCTTAATGGGATGCTGTACATTTAGAGCAGTGGTTCTCAACCTGTGGGTCGCCCAATTCAGAACAGTAGCAACGAAAACAACTGTACGGTCACCACCACTTTAGGAAGGTTGAGACACGCTGACTTAGAGTCTCAAAGGATCTTCTTAACAACATGCTTCTTCACTATTTGTAATTTAAGAAGCCTGTTAATTTGATAAAGTTCACAGAACCCTACCATAAAAACTAATATACCATATTAATTAACATTATGAGAGAGAAACAAAGCAGACGCTACCTAAAACAAGCAACAAAAGTTCACCGCACAGCAGCAATGGGACTCCTGAGGGAGGTCCTGGGAAGGCCACTCCCGATACGAGTCTCCACACAGAGGACACAGCTTCCCTCCATGACTGTGCGGTCCAAAGAGCACCGATCAGAAGGCGATTAAACAGACTCACAATACTTGCCTTGAACTCGTAAAAATAGATGCCAACCACAGAGACCAGAAGAGGCTGAGGTACTCTCCCCAACTAAAGGAGATGAGGTAGTTAGTGTGGTGTGCCAACCTGGCCAAGAAACACATGTGGGGTTAATTGAAGGGCGGAGGGATAAATGGCTCAGTGAGCCTCACCTTTCTAGTTCTCGGGTCTCTTGCTTTGTGATGGTCGGACCAGGGTGCAGCTGCCTTAGCCAGTTCCCTGCTTCAGCTGGCAAAGCTCACTTCCTGCAAGACGTCCCTGAGGAGAAGCCGCATGGACCTACCCCGATGCTGGAGCAGCCGTGTGGAGACCCCTGCCAGGGCTGAGATGTTTACACATTCACTGATTTGGCTTCCTCCCGCAGTCGGCATCATAGTGTGTGTTTTGTGAGATGGAGGACGTTGTGGATTGGTGTCGGAAATGTGAGTTAATTTTGGATTCGTGGGCTTCGGCAGCACTGGGTTGGGATGTTTTCTTGGTGTTCTCTTACCCTTCATATAAAACTCTCTCTTACACATATGAGTTTCTGTGGATTTGTTTCTCTAAAATACCCAGACTGATAAAGGAGACAGACACAACTGTGTCACCTTATCTTGAACTGGGTCCTGAAATTACACTGTCCATTACAGTATTCCCCAATTTAGGATGCACTCAAGTTATGAGGAAACACCCCAGTGACCTGTTTTTAAAGTTGTATTTTTAAAAGGTCCTAGAAGCGCAGTGGGTTAAGTGTGGGGCTGCCAGCTGAAAGCTTAGCGGTTTGTACCCACCAGTTGTTCCGTGGGAGAAAGAAGAGGCAGTCCGCTGCAGTCAGGATTGACAGTCTCAGAAACCCGGTGGGGCAGCTCTATTTTCTTATAAGGTCACGGTAAAGTTGGAATTGACTCATGGCAGTGGATTTGGTTTTATTTTGATGTATATATATTTTTCATGTACATTCTATCACAATATAGCTGTAAGATTATGTTATGTAATGTTCCAATCCCCAGAGATAAAGATCAGATTTATAAAGGCAGTGATCACAACAGGCAATAATAATGGGGGAAATAAGGTAAATGACTTACACAAGAATGGACTCACAACAGAGTTGTCGGAACCCCGTCGTAAGTAGGGAACGATTGTAATAATAAAATTTGAATGGGGTCCGTGGTTTAGATCGTACTATGGGATCAGTGCTAGTGTCCTGATTTTGATAGCAGCACGTGGTTTAGATCGTACTATGGGATCAGTGCTAGTGTCCTGATTTTGATAGCAGCACAATGTACTCCATGTGTGCTAAGGAAATATGTGCTCCAACATTAAGGGATAATAAGACATTATGTCTACACTTTACTTTCAGATGGTTCAGTGGTATTAATAATTGGGAATCTGGGTAAAAGCTATAAGGGAATACTAACCATTATTCTTGAAAATTTTATGGAGATTTAAAATTATTTCAAGACAGTATCTTAAGCAAAGCTTCAAAGTTTTCCTGCTATCACAAGTAGCTCATTAGTCCCTGGTTAAGACTTTCACAACATGCGCAGTCTAGTTCCGAAAGCACCTCCCCACCCCATTAACTCAGATTTTCCATATGGTGTCATTATATCCACTTTGAAATCCAGACTTCTCCCCTCTACACACAGGAACTAAATGCAAAACCCAAGGAAAGGGAAGTGGCGATGACAAAAAGATGGATAACTCAGTCCCTTTCATCAGCTAAGCTTATAATCTAGTAGAAAGTGGATATATTAAAGACCATGGTCCATCGTTGATTAAATAACTGTCCTTTAAAACATAACAATCATACACCCCTCATTTTAAAAAAATGTAAACCATGTGCTATTAATTACAGTTTTCTATTCCCTTGTTCAATACTCCTTTTGAATGTTGTAGGGGTCGCCATCAAGGTTGCTGTCAGATTCCCTCGCAGTGAACCAGCAACTGCCCATTTTCATTGGGTTTGTGCCTCTCCCTGGTGTCCAGGGCATCCATGCTCGACGACAACTCCTCAGCACCCTGGAGCACTTTCACCTCCGCGGAAGACTCTCCTACTGATGGAGTTGCAGATCCTCCCCGTTCTACTCGCTACAGAACACACAGCCCACTCAAGACCTCAGCCATTCTCCTTCCCCCTCACCCCGTCTTAAAATCTCTCACATCGACAAATACATGTTCCAAAAGAGACTCCTTCGGATGTCTCTTCCATGGCTTCCTTTCCAATTACCCCAGAAGCCTCTGAGCACTCGGAGAGCCTGTTACGCAGTCAGACGGAGTGTTAGCAGGCAACTCTTTCCTCTTCACTGACAAGATCGTGTGCATTTTTGTTTGTTAGTTTGTTTGCATACCTTTTGGATGCTATGGATTGTGTCTAAGTCAATCACATTTACGGTTTCCGGTCGCAGATCCTATCCGTAGTCTGTGAAATGTCATTTTAATTTCTGGCTGCTGTTGAGAATACACACAGCAAAACAAACACCAACACAGCAGCTTGCTCACGTCCCATCTAGTGGCACTGATTACGTTCCCTAAATTGGGTAACCACTCTCCTCCTTTTCCGAGTGGGCCTACTCTATCCCCATAAACTCAATGCTCCCTGCAGGATTCCATGATCTTTTCTCTGGCCTTCCTCAGTCGACCTTCTTAAAAGTCAACAGAATGTGTCTTGTGAGGCTCAGCACACTATTTCCCCTTCTGTTAATTATTCCTTATCATTAAAAACTCAGAGTAGAAAATTGGCTCCCGGCAATCAGTCAGGCCTTTGAAGCCCCCTATCCCGACTGCATCTTACCCCTATGTCGACTGTGTGCACTGCATAAGCAAAGTCTTATCATCTTTCACCCTGTTGTGTCACTCTGCTGTATACTCCCATAGCAATGTCCCCACCCACGTCACTTGTGAGTAGTCCTCAATGATGCCCTTTTCTACACGCATCACGTTCTTTCCTTTTTTTTTCTTAATTAAATACCTTTACTGGGAGCTCTTACATCTCTCATCACAATGCATACATTCATCCATTGTGTCAAGCACATTTGTACATATGTTGCCATCCTTTTCAAAGCATTTTCTTTCTACTTGAGCCAGCTCTTCATTGCCCCCCTCCTCTCCCCACCCTCCCTTCCTCATGAACCCTTGATAAATTATCGATTATTATTTTCCTATCTTACATCATCTTGTCACCCGTCACCAGCTTTTCTGCTGTTTGTCCCCCTGGGAAGGTTCTTTCCTTTTTAAGGGCATTTGCTTGTGTGTGTTTGTTGACCCACTCCAATCACAAAATCTATGGAAGCTTTACAGCTCACATTTATAGGGAGTGTCTTAAGCTCTTTCAGAACCTTCTGCCTCTAAGGCAGCTCAGGAGAATGGAAATGGCAGATTAGTAAATAGGCAACCAAAGAGAGGTAAGAAAACAAAATATCAATGTATCTAGAATGATTTTTTTTTTAATTTTGTTTGGTTTATTGATTCAGCCTTTTTATTTTTCTTTCCCAAACCCAAGGAGGTCTGATGGGAAAAGGCAAGGAGGGATCATAAGAATTACCTGTGGCAATTCAGAAAGAAATAACAGATGCTTCCTCTGTGGGGGCATATCAGTCATACGTACATCTCCCCCAACCCTTCTTACAGTGGTCTACCTACCAATAAACGCATTTAAAGAAATAAGTGCAGGTATTGACCAAAGAGCAAAATGATCGACCATGGATGCTTTGATGCATGCCTCAAAAAACTGTTCCCAGAAAGCAGGAGGGAGCCCTGGAGTTGTCTCAAAAATTGGATGTGATCGATGGGGCAGTAATGTTAAAAATTAGAGTTGATCACATGTTCCAATATAAAAATACTCCTATATAAAAAAATACTCCTAATCCTTAAATTCTAGAGCCAGTCAGTGCAGGATCAATCTGCTGCACCCAGACCTTGATGAGCCCTGACGTGGTAATTCGGCCAAGACTGCTAGCTGGCTGCGTAATTCATCAAAGGGTCCTGCAAAGAAAGGGCCTTTTTGTCTCGCTTTGCTGCAGTACAAAGGTGGTTAGCAGAGTTGCCTGAACATCAAAAGTTAACATTTCTTTTCTCTATCTTGAAAGGAAAAGTGTGAGCATGCCAATTCAACTTTACAGGGCAATCCAGTAGATACACACAATAAACTGTCAACATTCCCATTTATCTTACGCAGAGACTTGCCCCTTTACCCTTTTCTCCCCAGAATAAATGTAAACAGTTCTTACCTAATTCATAGAGGTGCCCATCTACATGAACTAATGCAATAAAATGAAGATCTACTTTTTCATCTATACTTGGTGCCTGGAATAGGGGAAAATACATGTTACATACGTCAGTGGTGACAAAAAGGAAGTAAAGCACATATAACTACATATAACTAGTAGCAAATGACACGAGAGCACTGAGCCAATATTAATATGAGGCTTAGTCCTTGATATTAGAGTGACTACGCTTTTGTTTGTGATAATGAACTCGTATGTCAATAAGAAAAACATTGATGAGAAATGCGTCTCTCTTGGTCTCAATTGATCTAAATGCCGCAAGTCTTGTTCACCTGTAAAGCCCCAGCACAATCCCTGGTAAAAGGCCAGGAACAGCACGACTGCCCATGAAATGTGTAGTTTTTGTTTTATTATGAATTTTCATATTTGGAAAACATTTAAAAATAAAGAGATTCAAGAAAATAGCCCAAAAGATTAAAGTTCGGAAAAAAAAAAACAAAACTACAATTAACTGTAACCTATGATTGTTCTCATGCTTTGACTTTTGATTTAAAAAAAATATCTAAAATTACACATAGCTTTTCAAATTCAGTTTCATGAGTAATACCTGCTGCATTCCTTAGGCATTCACATAACTTACACAAAGGCAACAATTAACTGACATTTCCTATAACATGCATTTATACCCCAAACCAACCAAGTGCACGGCCTCCTAGTGAGTGCCGACTCATAGCACCACCTATAGAGGGTTTCCAGACTGTAGCTCGTTACAGAAGACAGCCTGCTCCTCTGACAGAGCAGCTGGTGAGTTTGAACGGCTGAGCTTGTGGTTAGTAACCCAATGCCTAACCCATATCGATACCAGGGGTCCTTACGCAGTTATACAATTAACTATATATCAAACCTAAGTAGTTAGAAATTGCCGCAGTTAAAGGCAAGTAGGATACACATTTTACAGACACAAGTTTTTTAGTCAGGCATAAATCAAGTTTTGTTTTATATTACTTAACATCCTTTATGTAACTTTAATGTATTGTAACTCCAAACATAGTATTTATTCACTTATATAATTACTTAATTTTAAGTTTTTGTGAAAGAACTTTTCTCTCTTTTTCTTTTTGCTTAAAAGAAATTTTCTGATGCAGAAGTTGAGATTGTATACTAAACTCTACTCATTGGGTTTAAGGGGCCCTGCTGGCATAGTAGGCTGGTAACTTCAAAGTTTGCAGTTCAAAACCACCAGATGCTCTTCAGGAGAAACATGAAGCTTTCTCCTCCCGTAGAGTTAACAGTTTTGGAAACACACAGGGGCACAGTTCTGCTCTGTCCTACTGGGTTGCTCTGGGTCAGAACTGACCTGATGGCAGTGAGCTTGGTGTCTGAGTTTGGTGGCATCATGGGTTATAGTTTGGGCCGCTGGCTGCAAGGCCAGCAGTTCAAATCACCAGCTGCTCTGCGGGGGAAGCATGAGGGGTTTTGCTCCAGTAAACACTAAAGCCTTAGAAATCCAAAGAGTCGCTTTATACTCTGTCCTCTAAGGCACGTTGAGTTGGAATCACCTTGATGGCAGTGGATTTGGAGGGGCAGTGGAGCTTGGGTTTTTAACAGAGTGCTCTTTCTTAGGCACTTCCGGATAACGTAACGCATCAAATCTCACATTACCCTTCAGAGATGAGTGGCCCTCAAGTTATGAATGGAAAAACAAAAACAGCATAAAGTAACTTATCACAACAGTTCTTCTTAACCTCAACCTAGAGCTAGAGAATTTCAGAGTGGGTAGGAATCAAAGTCATCAAGCCTAATTGTTGCTTAAACCCTGGACTCCTCTCTGAGCAGCCCCTCTCCAGGTCTTCCTTCCCTGGGTTCTGGAGGTATTCGTTGGTACAGTCAGAATCAACGTGATGACAAAGAGTTTGGTTTGGGGGGGAGGCTGATTCTACCTGCAGACAGCTTTGTTAGAGAGTTCTCTCTCGTGCGTGACTAAAACACGTCTCTCTATTTCCTATCATTTCAGAGAAGCCAATGCCTCCTCAATGTGATGATCCTTCAGATACTTAGTGACACTGTAATTCACTGGAGGAATTTATTTCCAGGTCAATAGAGAGGACCGGACATGATTTTTTGAGCTCCCTTATTTTCCTGCTCAGGATTCACGCAGTCCAATACCCTTATTTTTCCCAAGTTCTCAAAAGAGAGTCAGCTTTTCAGGACCAAACCTAGGCAATTCTACTCTATGAAAGTTCAGTCCTATTACAAAAACTCTATAAGGAATTCCTTGTCCTAATAGCAGAAGAGTCTTGTTTTACAAATTTTAAGAAAATTCGCCACCAGGATATCAAGCATCTTAAATCTTTTAAGCTGTAATGTTTTCAAAAAATATTAGCTACTTTAACCCATATCTTCTTAAGAACTGTATTCTCTTATAGCTTCTATTTTTTATGTTTTGCTAGGAGGTAAATTCAAACACTTTGAATCAGAAAGCCTGAATACGCATTCCAGTTCCCGTGGGCCTCAGCTTTGCTGTTTTGAGACTTGTGAGATGTGTGAAAGTATTTTACACACTGTAAAGTACTGTATAAATATGATATGCTACCACAATATTAATATCACATTATTATTTATCCTAGATGTAAATAGTTACATCTAGTAACTGAAAAATTATGTCATTGTAGTTTTTATTCAAAAGTGCACACAAAAATATAAAACTCTACCGAGGTCACGGAAAACCTTTAAACTATTATAAAAAGTTTTTGAAAAAAGCAACTCAGAACTTCTCAGACTTTCATAAAACCTCAGTGCCTATTACGGGTCTTTTTCCTTGGCCAACTACTGTGAGTCTAAAAGCCTACAATCTACAATCACCCAGTTGTTTAAAATACTGAGAAAGACAAAAGGCGCAGCCTTGACACCCCACTTTCCTTACATCAGCTCTACACCTGGTCTGAGTGGTGACAGGAGGAGGAAAACTGACAATGAAACTGACCTTGATGCTTTTGTGGCACGTGAGCTGCTTTCAAACCATTGAGGGGGGAAAAAATCCCACTAACAACAAAAGCAATAAATAAAAAAAGTTTAACAAATCTTTTGACCAACAGATAAACTACACAAACAAAAATTCTTTCTAGGGTTTTGCTATAGGACTGAGCTTCTAGACTGCAGTCAAAGCAGGGGCTATCGGTTGATTCCATTTTTGCCTGATTTTTATAGAGTGTTCTGTACCATGTTCCCTAATTTGGAATCCAATGATGCTTTAAATACCTCACAAGGAACAAAAGTGATATAAAACCCACTTAAAAAGAAATATAAATTAAAATGTTATAAAACAAAATACTACTTAAATGTCATTGATGACCACTTTGCAATGATGGTGAAATTGTTTGGCAAAGGTTGTCAAGCAAGATTGCACAGTTTGAGGTATATAATCAAGGCCTCTAAGCTACATATGTAGAAATTGTAGAAGGGTGTGTGTGCTTTGATGTTTATATTTTTCACGCACACAAAAAGAGAAGAAAAAATATAGCTGAGTGGTCATTATGGTATGTAACATATACCTGGCACTATTCTAAGTGCCCTGCACATATTGAACACTTGATCCTCATGTCAACCTGACAAGGAAATACGGTGTGTATGGAGGGCCAGAGGCAATAAGGCCACACAGCTCACGAAGGGAGGGCAGCTGGCGTCACACTAGGCAGTGTGATTCCAGAGCCCATCTCTCAACCACTAGGTCATGGAAACAGTTATGGAGCTACCGAGCAACATAATTAATAAGCATGCACCCAACATGAACACTATTTAAAAACATGTCAAACTGGAAATACCAAATCTTCTACCATATTCATTTTTATTTAGGATAGTTTTGAAAGACAAAGGAATTTGCTCGATCGTGACCAGGTCCGAATTTAGAAAATCAGGGTTTCATTCTGATCAGCTAATTAATTCACGTTGTCTCTATCGCTGTGCCAAACAGTTTATAGCACAGCAGGGAAGATATGAACACTGAATGGATGCGGGAATAAAAATGATAACTGCATGCGGTGGCCCAGAATGAAGGGAGGGGATAAAATGCGGGAGGGTGCCAATCTGCTGACACTCAACACAAATGGAAGGCAATTCTGAAGACCACACTGATGTTTGGCAACAGTTAAAGAGGACTCGGGCCACAACCCCACTTCATAGTTTGAGCAGAGCTCTAGAAAGGTCAGTAAGGGGAAGGAAGGAATGCTGGACACAGGTCTTTAACTTATATTTAATGTTGTTTTAAAGAATTTCTTATAAGCACTCACTAAAGCTTTCAGATACATAACTACAGGGGCCCTGCCAACCCCTAGGCTCTGCCCTTTCACATCCCAAGGCAGCCAGCAGCACAAGGGCGGTGCTTGCGTTACTCCTACAATTTAGTTCCATTTCATCAGAATTCCACCACCAGACTCAACAGCTAAGATAATTAGCAAGTTATTAAAAAACAAAAAATGTATACTTTTTAGTAGTTTGCTGGATCATGTTAATCAGAGAAAGAAGAACCATACAATTTATAGGACGCTTACAGCAAGTCACAAAGAGACAATTCTCACCTTCTACTTGGAAAAGATCTTTAGAAACTGAGTAAGGCAGGGAAGATCAGATCAAGATAAACCAAGCACCTGAGCCCCCTCGGGGAGTGAAACAGTGGAGAGGAAACACCTGACACCATGAAGGATTCAGACTGAGGCGCGGGAGGAAAGGGACCCAGAGCACGGCAAGAGACTGACCGCATGCTCAGAAACATGGAAAATAAGCAAACAAAACAGAAACGAGTAAATAAAGGGTAAGATGGCAAGGAACTCAGAAGGAGCACAGCATTTGTTGACCCAAGTCATCGAAATCAAATTGGAAGATGAAATACGAGACAACACGTATTCATTTCGACAACTGGCAGCCACGCAAATACGAGCGGTGATCAGCCCTCTTCCAAAGGCCAGTGCCCTGGTGTTGGCAGGACATGGAGAGGAAAGATGGATGAATGTTCCAGGCATCGGTGAGAGTCCAGCTAGACTGCAGAGCATAGAGGCATGCTTGCACTCTTTCTGGGGAGAGACA